TACTCGAGATTCAGCACCCCAGCTCTTACGCTGTTCAGTCAACTGGGACTTTTACAGCTGAGAGACCGACAAAAGTGAATCTAAGAAGCAAAGACTAAAGATTAGAAGTGACTGCTCTCATCTGGCATCTGAGTGCAGGGAAAAAGGGGAATTTCTGCAATTCTGAAGACACTTTCACCAATAACCTGCAATTCAGATATGAATTTGGGGTATACATAGACGGACACTGGTTAATAGCAGAAAGGAGCTTTTATTATGGAACCTGCAGCATAACTTGGCTCCCTTCTTGGGAATTCAGGAGGAGCAACATTGGGGAAAGAATGCTGAATAAAGAATTCTTTTGGCACAGAGTTTTAACAGAATCTAACATTCTGTCTCTTCAGGAGAATCTCCCCTCCCTTCCTTCTTGAAATCTGATTAGCCATACAAGATTCCTAAATAGCAATACAGGATTCTCCCTTGTTCCCCTCAAAAGCAGAACTGGGATATGTTAGAAAACCCTCTCCCTTTTCTGACCTAGAAGGGGGTACAATTACTTTCAGGGTTTTCCTTTTGCCTTTTATTTGGGGGCAGGAAAGACCTCCCCTCTTGTTAAACAAAATGGAATTACAGGCCTCTGAGCAGCAAAATAACAAGCCTTTTTTTTTTTTTAAATGCTGCTTTCCACCTTGATAAGCAATGCTATAACCAGCAATGGAACTCCTTATGCACAAGACAGTTTTGATGAGGGCGAGAAAGGGGATCCACTTTTTTAGTTATAGCTAGAACCCAAAGCACACTGAATGATACAGCTGTATCTGCTCACAGTACTTCAAATTTTAAAACATTGCTGACATTAAAGACAGTAACCGTTCTACTGCAACTCACTGAAACATCAGCAAAATGCAGGTTCCTTGGGTTAGTTCCAAATCTAGGAAGTTAGAATAAGCCTAGGCAACATTCCTTGAAGAAATAGGATTTTATCTATATCACTGGTGCCACTGTAAATCAAATTCAAAACATCTGTGCCTTTAATAGGAAGGGGGTATGTACGTGTAAAATGCTGGCAGTTTTTGTTGAATCCATAGAGAATCAGTTCTGGACTTAATACATTATGTCCCAATAAGTGTTGCTATTCCTGTTACCACTCTTTTTTCTTCTCATCCATGGAGACTCCGCCAGGGCCCAGTGCAACCACGAGGAGAAGCCCTCCAATTACAGACATGGTCTGGAAGAAATCGTATTTGAGGAAGTCGTGCATGGGCTTGTAGGCTGGGACGGTCCAGAAGGCATTGAAGTAGATGTTGATGCCAAACAGCCAGATGACTAGAGTCAAGGCAGCCAGCTTAGTCTTGAAGCCAATTGCCACCAAGATAATCAGGGCTGTGCCCACAATGTTCTGCAGAATCTGCAACGGAAAAACCCCACAAGCTTACACAGGGGTCTTAAATAGATCCACAAACATCAGAACAGAGCATGAACAAGTTCAGCAGAACAAGTTGTCATGGCATAGATGATTTAATAGCTTTTCCTAAATATTAATTCTATTAAAAAATAGACTTAAATGATAAGCATTGAGTAGGTCCTACAGCCAGTCTGAGAGCTGGTACTATATTCTAGTTCCTTAACTCATACTCAGATACTTACAGAAAAGAAGTTCATATCAAAATGTAGCAGTGTCATGAACATGAGGACCAGCAGCACACGGCCCCCCAGCTGCATGTACTGCTTAGGAGAGCTTTCCCGCATGGTAGGGACACCAGCAAACATGCTCTTCCCCTCTGAGCGCGACTCAGCCAAAAGCAGCAGTAAGCCTCCCCCAAGGGCAAGGTTCCTACAGAAAGACAGAAATAACAAGAAAAAACACCCAAACTCAGTTTATTACAGTTTGTGCTGATCTATAGATTTAAAGTCTTATCTGACAATTTCAGCTCAGTAAGAATCTGCATGCCAGTGAAGAATGACCTACTCTGCACCTTGCGATGCGTGTCTGCATTAGGCTTCACAGCTGAAACAGCAGCACTGCACACAACGATTTACACAAGCCCGTGTAGACACGTATGGCCTGCCAGAGAAGTCCAGCACCCACAGCTCAGGCACAGTTGCTAAGCATCTGTTACAGCATGAATTTAGTTGTGTTGAAGTTATTCTGTACCTCAGGTTTAGCCACATATGCCAAAGTAGTTCAGAGGTTGCTTTGAGAAAACAGAACAGCAGTACTACTAAAAGTTACACATTGACAGGGTTGTAGTAAGCCCAGAGTATTGTTCCTGTGCTGCCCCTGCCCTCCCCTCAGACAGGGGTGAAAAGGTAACAGACAGCCATCACTCAGGATTTGACAAGAAAGCTTATGTTTAAGAACTCTGTCTTGTCTCGGAGAAGGTGTTAAGAGATTTAAAGTCTCTCTAATATCTACATGCTTTAGTTTTCTTGGAAAATAGCTTCACTCATGCACAAGCACAGTTGCTATTTTAGCCATTTAGGAAATAATAGCAGCTTGCTGATCCAGTCTAGACAGTTGTTTGTGCGCTCTCAGCAAGGAGGTTAGTAGCAGAAGCACTTAGATCATAGTGGGTTAGGATTAGTCTTTCCTTTCTACAGCACTGAGCCTGCTGTCTGTGGTTTAACACAGGCTATATGGATATTATTTTTTTTTTTTAAGTACTGTAATTTCTTGTTTATTTTACATGCATAATTTATAACATCTTTCTAGTAAATACTATGTCTGAAGATCATTTCCTCTGTCGAGAGAGAGGCAGCAACAGACAACAGTTTTCATTCTGCTTTGATAAAGACTTTAACAAGTAGACATACCTCATCAAGAACTTCAGGTCCCATAGAATGCTGTATGCAATAGTCTAGGCAAAGAAAAAAAACAGTTTAAAACACCATACATGTTACACTGAAGTTCTGAATTCATGTTATAATCTCAAGCCTGTACTACCCATAGCACTAGTCAATTAGAATTATGTTACACTGAAGGAAACAGGATAGATTACATCACTGTGGTCCGATGAATCAGTGTAAAACAGGGAACAGAAGCCAGAATTTGACTTGTGCTTTAGCCCCCACAGGAATTAATTTGTTTTAAACAGGGAGGATGCTACTAGCTGGGATCCTCTGCGAAGGGAACAGTCCTTCATAAAAGCTGTGTGCTGAAAGCCAAAGCAACTACAAGTCCCACATTTGGCACATTACTGACATACAGGTAAATTGCAGTTACTTCTGCTAAATTGGTCAAGGTCAAGTATTAAATCGACATCTCCAGCTAACTAATTGCTATTACAGCCAGGGATCTATTGGGCACGTCAGAAGAACAGAAGCAGTTCAATGCCACTGAGGACTGGCACTAGGCCAGGGTTGCAAGTTATATTTATATATGTTGGTAGTACTGGGGCTAAGCAAAGATTTGAAAAATATGGTTTAGAAGGGCTGAAGACTTAAGCCTCCTACCTGTAATGCTATAATTCCAAACAGTCCAAAGCAGGCATATTGCACAAAGTTCCTACTCAGCACCAGGATACAGCCGCCTGAGTTGGGGAAATTGAACACAGTTACACTTCTGACTTGCGCAGGAAAAGATGCTTCAGGAATGCTAACTTGTTTTAAACTGAGTAGACTCCAATTTCTTTCAACTGTGCCACGGAGAACACCAGGCAGGAAATCTTAATGGCACATTGCCACAAATCAGTTTGAGAACCAAGTAGTTTTAGTGCATTTTAAAATATTTTATAATTCTAGAAGTATCTTTTATTTTACAAGGGTAAGCACATCCTGAATGTAGTCCCCAACACACAGCACTGTACAGCAGCTATTAGTGTTAAAGCATGAGAAGTAGTTAAAAAGAAACTCAACTCATCATGGATATTTTTTTTTTTTTAAATGAAGCAACTATTAGGGCAGACATGCTGCACTCCTTTTCCTTGAAAGCTTTTGTTATTTATCCTTCCTCATGTCTTCTGTCACAAAGCACTGACAGCCTTTGCCAAAGACTGGTAACTACATTAAATTCAAAAATATGAGAGTGAAAAAGACCCCAGACAAGACAAGAAGTTGTCAGAGCAATCAAGAACAACAGATCAGGGACATAAACAAAATTTTACTTCTCTCCATTTCTGACACCTTAAGTCTACCTAGCACACAGAAGCACTGCTTCTGGGATTATTCTGATTCCTAGGCTTTGGAAGTTTGACACAAGCACCTCTCTCAGGCTTAAGTGTACCAGCTGCAGGATAGCACTCTGCCTTGAGATTAATACCCATAAAAACGGCAGGCCAAGAAAGTGTTAACGCTGCCCTGTTTAAGAAAAATAGGAGTATTTCATTTAGAGAATTCAGGGGGTGTAGTATGTGTTTATAGATGCATATACAGAATTGAAAACAGATTGTCCTAATGGACTCTTGGCATCTCTGACTCAGAGGTAGTGTGTCACAAGAAATTCTCCAAGACTACTTCCAGGAAAGGCTGAAGCAGGTCAATTAAGAGTTCTTTTCATTCAGCCCATGTAGTACTATCAGTTCTCAGCTGTCAGAGGCTATTAAGAAATCAGTGAGGCATCCCATGCTTACATGACTCACAGCGCTCACATGAGCCAGGGTGGCAGACACACTGGTGTGCTCTGGCATCCACCTTAACAGCCTTAGAGCCACTTACTTAGCTGTCCGAAGAGATTTATGAACACAAAGATGGAAGCCAGGAAATAGCCACAGTTCCATGTGCCATCAATGTAATCCCTCTGTTCGCTCCACTGGAACCACATGCGGATGCCATCCTCCAGGAAGGTGCTGATCAGGCACAGGCGGGCCACGTGAGGGAGGTACTGCTTCGTCACCCTCAGGAACTGCATGGACAGACAGCATCGTTAGCAGGGAAGGAAGGCAAGGAGATACGCAAGGCCTAACAGACCCAAGCACTCTGCAGACTGAGGTCAGCAGTTCTCATGCACACAGGGTCATCAACATCTAGACAGAAAGACATACTCGGGACTTGGATTTAATGAAATTCTTCTCCAGTTTGAGAAGACTTGGGAGCAGCGGGGGAAATCTGTTGTCATGCTCCACCCAAAGAGCATTTGGGACAAGGACTTGGGAGAAAGGCAAAATGCAGCAGCACCTTTCTGTGTAACAGGAACTGTGTTTTGATGGAGTTCTTTCTAGCTGAAGGCTGACCTTGGTTTTAGTTTGTCTATCTCAGGGTTTCATGTTACAACTCAACTATCAGATAGCCAGGAGCTGAAAGGGCAATCCTACTCCCACCCACAAGCCCAGGCACTCAACAGCCTGTCACAAACTGATTCAGGGAGTCAGGCTGACAGAAGACTAACTCCATACAAATTAAAAAGCCATTAATAATATTTCTGCCAAGCTATTTCCCTCTAACAGCTCAGAAAAGCAACAGTGCAAAGCATGTGTACTTGTGTAGCAGCAGCTATTAAGATCAGTGTCGATGTTGTATGAAATTGCACCCTCTATCCTCTATGGAAGTAGAAACTGTGTATACTTGCATCAAAAACAGCATACTCCGCAGAAAGAGAATAGGCATTTATATGTACAATTCAGTGAAGAAGTTAAAAGGAAATTGTATCATCATGCAACAGATACTGAGCCTTAGTTCTTGGGAATGCAAGATGCATCTGGTCCCACATAACCCTTCATCTCACAAGCTCACCAGCTAGTTTGCTCTACAATTACAATAATTATAAAGGAACAAATACAGAATTGCCAAACTAGCATGCTCTATAGGACTGTGAAAGGCAACAAGTAAGGAAAACTTACTGCCTCTGGATTATGACAAGCGCATAACTGTCACCCAGTTTCCTAAATGGCACTGGTTACTACTTAATGGACATTTCCACTAGGCTTTGCATTGTCACTCTGAACGCAAACTGGCACCTGGCTGGCCTGTTTCACACACAGGTTTGGCTTAGACAGATCACTAGAAGAACACATTTGGAGTCAGCGTATGCTACTGTTTGAGTAAGTGCAATCTATTAAGAAACAAATGTAAATTTAACCTAAAACTAACTGCAAGATTATCTAGCAGGTTTCTACCTTCAGCTGACAGACACAGTTTGGGCAGGTTGACACCTGTGAAAGTAAATGCCCACGTCACAAGCCTTCATGCAGAACTGCCAGACTCCGCAGAGATCCCTGCCGTGGAACTAGGAGGAGGAGCCATTTAATAAAACCCCATTATCCCACACAAAGTTCAATGTGTTGTAAGGCACATTGATTCATCCCATTTATGCAACATTACAATCCTTCAAGCATGAAATGGCATGGGGGAATCTGCATGAGTATAGGTGCCTTCCAGACAGAATTGAATATATATTATTAAAAAACCTGGCCAGAAAAGGCACACAAACCTTTTCTTTCATAATTCATTATTTACATTGACTTGAGGTTAAACAATAAAGCTGACTGGTTTCTTTCTGGCAGGTTCCCCCCCCCCCCCCCCCTTTTTTTTTTTTTTTAAAGTTCTGGCAGCGTTGCATGCTTTCAGTATATATGGGAGTGTGGAGAAAGGAAACTAAAGCCACCCCTGAAAGTTTACTCTTGCCACAGTAATTAGGAAATTCTAAAGGCTGTTCCAAATCCTACACAAATGACAAGCCTTGCTTACTGTGTAACAGGAGATTGTTACAAGAAAAAAAAAAATCCAGCACACACACTTATTAGTTAATTAAACAGTTAATGTCGGAACACACTACACTAGTTGTACTGCATGCATCCAGAGTCTAAGGGTCAAGATCCAAGTTAATCAAGTGCATTTTAAGTGCAGCTGTACTCTGACTCAGGGCTGCAACTTCAGGCTTTTTTAAAGCCATGTCGACAGTTGGATGAATGAGTCAGAAGAAAATTTGTGATCTTTGTTACTGAATGAAATGCACATCTTGGTTTACAGCTTTCTTCTCTCCTGGATTTCACTGTGCATTTGGGCAAACTTGCCAAGAAATACCAAGGACGAAGTTGTTTTGAAAATAGTACAAAACCAAAAGGGGTTTGTAAAGTAAGTCTGCCTTGTCAAGACACAGGACAGGCAACTTTGGTCTAGAAGGAAATGAAAGAGGACAAATGCTGGACATCTGTAGGAAAAGGGAGAAAAGGGAAAACACACTGTTGTGGAAAAGCTGAAAAAAAGAAGCAAAGAGAGAGGGGATCTGCCTCCAGGCCTCATCTTCATTGCTTCTGAAGTAGATCATGTGAGCTGATCTCATCTTCCCCTTCCCCAAAACCAAACAACTGCTAACAGTCCAGGCAGAGAAGGCGTTTAACATTTACCTGTTTTCGTGTCATATAGAGGGAATTTAGCGCTATCTATTAAACATGAGTGTGCACATCCAATCAGCTTAAGACAAGTCAGAAAGACTGAAGCCTAAGGCAGCTGCAGTGCTAAGCAACCTTATCATGACACACATCATCTTTGGACATCCGTAACTCATGTAGCTGCATTTACTGAGCTACACACAAGTCGAAACCTCTGTAACATAGCAAGTTTAAAGTAAATAAGCTTCAGAAACAAACTGTATGAACAAAAATCCAAGCCAAAAGAACAACTAGCCATGGAGATCCAGAGAGAAAGGAAGAGAACAATTATGCAATAACAACAGCAGAGTGTAATATGCATCAAGTAATTTTACGATTAGAGAATCAGGTATAAGTCACCAAAGTAATTTAACTAAGGACAGAGTAACTTATAAGAAACAGGAGATCTCTAGAGGTGAGAGAACTAACAGTACCAGACACCCTGATTTTGTCCCCGCACATCACTAGCAACACGTGGCTCCAACACTGCACCCTGAGACTTCCTTTACAATTGACACAGATAAAAGCAGCACAGACGGGAAACTTTGTAGCTGCAGTTAACAAACATATCCAACTAAGACATGGGACTTGAAGTGTACACTCCACTGAGCACAATACATTCAAGCCAAAACAAAACTGTTGAGATGGATGGAAGCATCAGTGTTGTTTTGTTTTGGCTTGAATGTATCTCAGTGTTGAGATGGATGGAAGCATCAGTGTTAAACTCATGACATTAAGTAACTGAATGGCTTATTCTGCTATGGGCTTTGCATCAACTGTCCTTAGCACATATTGCTTTCTTACAAGAGGCAAAACATCTTGAGAAGAAACAAAATGCTACAGTGAAACCATTTTAAAAAAAGAACAGCTGGTTCTGTGTTGGCAGCGGAGTCCTAACATACACCAGAGGGGCTTTGGGTTGCCACTTCCCCCTTCCAATGGGATTAGAAAGGCAAAGATAGATTTAAATGTTTCTCTTACTTTAACAAGCAGAGATGCACGAGAAAATCCCTAAACATCAAATATCTGCTCAAAACCTATTTCTCAAAAGGAAGCTTGAAATACTCAAATCCATAAAGAGGCCTGCACAAAGTGAGGTAATAAAGTGATTCTGTTTGGACTCTTACCATGCTTTCAAACTATATCCCACCTCCAATAGCCTCAAATTTATTAAAAATACAGTCCTTTTTGTCTGTCCCCCCTCCTTTCCCCCCCAAAGTGTACATGCCCTAGCTAGCATAATTACAGGTATTTTAAGACCAAAACACAGCCAGGAGTTGGGAATTTTTGCTGTCACCTAGGTATACTCTGTCCAAACAGAGAAGCTTTTTCTATGTGCGTGCACATATGTGTTCTTGGATCAGGGAAGTTATGATCGTGGTGATGAACAGCAGTCTGCTAAACTACACAGAAAGCCCTCTTGCGATACTTTGTTCTGGGAGGACAGAGACCTCTAAGCAGCCTGGGACACCAGTGATCTTTTCTGGAGTAGGATACTCAATCCTCTGGTAGAGATAAAAATCACTTCCTTTCACCAACCTGTACATATCCACTTAAGGAAATGCCACTTAAAAAAGCCACAAGGACAGTAACACCCATCACATTGGGCTAATCAATGTCTACAAGTTATTTGTGAAAACTGGAAACAGAAGCTTTCTTGCTTATTTCAAAAAGGCAAGAAGAGAACTCTGACCCACTACAACATTGCCAGTGGACTTAATCAGGTTTTTAATTGCAGGAAAATTTTTCAGCACAATGCTCTTCACTCCTGAAGTGTGCTATATACCAATTCCCTCTTCCAAAAGGCTATTTATTAATCAAATTATTAAAATGGGATTTATTAGTCATGTACTGCATTTTGTTATCTCTCTTCATGGGAAGATTCTTTCCCAGCCTAACCAGAATAAGCTATCTGGCTTATAATGATAAAGGATCAATGCACTGACACAACTACGTTACCAAGAGAGTTTCCAAATACAGTTGGGTTTTTTTTAATATAAAATACAAAAAAAGTTCCAACCAACAATGAAATGTTTTCTTCTCCCTTCTATTTTCTGCAAAATAGGATACAGAGATGTTAGAATTAGCTGAACAACATGCATGAGCATTTGTGTTGGAAAATTAAATAAACCCCCCAGAGTCTAGATCTCCCTTACAGCCCTTTCACTGCAGTACAATGACTCAATAGTCTCCCTGCATTTTTGTCCATGATTTTTTTCAGAACAGCATTAATACCAGGCGCCCACATTCCTAAAGATTATTACAGACACCAGAAAAGTTGCTTGAGATCTGCTCCCTCTTATGGGGATTACAGAGGAGAGACAGCCAGTTCTATAACCCGAAACCATCAGTACAGGCCCCAGATACAGCTATTTTCAGTATGATAATGTCAGCAGTACATGGTGAGTGCAGTGAAGAGCTTAGCATGTAATATTTTAACAAGAACCACTAAAAAAGGGCTTAACTTCTGAGTATGTAAGTTATTTAATTAATAACACTGGGCTGGTGTTATGGGGCTTAAAAGCAAATCAACCTATAAAGC